TCTAACTCCGCCCCTTTGTGACTGCTTCCTGTCTCAGTCCTAAATTAAGTGTACAAGTGGATTCCTGCTTTACTGCAACTGTTAAATGTGTTTTTCTTAGTGTTTTTGCACTTGTAATTATTGATCATTTTAATAATTTTGTCCAAATTTTCTATGCATGCCCTCTATGTATGACTGTTTGTAGCCTTGAGTCAAAGAAATTTTTAGCTCTGTGACTTCCGGTACTTACAATGACATATAAGAAGCTTTCATTTGAAGTCATAGTATTCTATGACATTATGACAGTTTTCAAACTTAATAAAACTAAATTATGTAAAAACTAAGTTAAAAATAGTTACAATATATAATTTAATTTCCAAAATCATGCTATAAAAATCCTCCTTTGGAGAGTTAGAAGGGAGAATGGCGGATCTTGAGTAATTTAAGAGAAGTCAAAGATAGACTTCAATAATCAGTGATGTAAAATGTTTTGGCAAAGGCATTTTTAATGTATACGTTGAGTTACAAGTCTAATTCCTTGATGTCTATGTTCTGTGCTTATCACACTCCATTTCTATCCGTAAAGGCAGTACGACAATTGCAACTAAAGCTGCATCCATCCACAATGCCATCCATATCTTTCAGTAGATTATGACATTTAAGGATACTGTAAATTGGATATCCAATAGCAAAACTGTCGTCATCTTGGTTTCCTTCAAGGTACTGGGCTGAACAACCAAACATCTTAGGGAGAATGGATATTAGGAAAAACATCCTGGAAACCAGGAAACTTGTCCAATAGCAAAGTGTAAGTTAGTACAGAAACCGACAGCAGGATCAAGGCAACAACCAAATGCTGATGTAGCACTCTTGAAGTGAAGTATGACAGCCGAGGCTTTAAGCTCCTCAAGGATGATTTTCTGGAAAAGCAAAAACTATGGAATGACAGAATACTCTGAGTAAGGTTGTCATGGCTTTAGCTAAGATTGCTAACTAACTTGTGTAAGTATACAATCTTAACTTTGTAATAACTGTGATTGTTTTAAAAATAGTTTAATGGAAGGAATCGACTACAATCTCTACATTCAAACTTACAACATTTCTTCTTTACCATCAGTATATGTATAAGGTAAGACTAGAAAATTATAACACAAGTGCAAAAACAAAGATCGTTCTGTCAAGTGCACTATGATCGACTTTGCTGCGAAAGTATGGTAAGTCACTTTGTCTATTTCTCCTCTCTCCAAATTATCTTGACATCTCATTGCTTCAGTTGTAGTCTGTTCATTAGCAATTCACACGTTTCCCATGTATGATTCTGGCGCCATAATGGGACACCTGAAACCTAACAACCCATGAACTCATTCCAGACCGTGGGCAGCCCCACTCCACCTGGGTAGCTCTTCAGTACTGCTTCCGCGCAGTTCTCCGGTCTTTGTCTATACGCCAGCGTCTTCACAGGTCCTGTACCGTGTCCAAGCAAAGGGAGCTGGAGTCCACTCTTCCATGTGGGGAGCTCACTTTTTCACCAATGGGATTATGAGTTATCTTTGTTTCTTTGTGGATTTGGCGATGCTCCAGGACATATAAGGACATTCATGGACTATTTATGGTGAATATATAGGGGTGCAACTAATTGCAATATTTTTCTTATCTGAAAGTTGGCTTGTGAAGAGAAACGCAGTCCCTGCACCTGTGACCAGCGTGCCCTTCCAACAACTCGGCACACATGCCTTGTTTTGGCCTTCATCGATCAGAGAATGCCTTGAAGAAAACACTACACCGCTGTGGTTTGACACGTGATGGACTCGTATCATTTCGCCTCACCTCCTCACGTAAATGGCACCTAGTGGTACCAACTTATTATTTCATAGGCTTGTGTCTGGCATTTTGATAATGAGAGGGGCCAACACACATGTGAAAATGCTATATAGGCATTATTTATATATGAGTAGGATCACTGTAGATTGACTTCTATCCATTGAATAAGGTGACTTTGATCCGGCTCAAAATCTATATCTTTTGAAATTAAGAGCCGCGGGTGTGGAGACTTAAAAAGAGAATGATTATTTGTAAAGCAGGCAATTTGTATAAAGCCATACATTTTTCAGCGTTTTGATGTCTTTCTTGTTTCATAGTGTAAAAGTAATTATTTGGCTGTCTCCCCCCCCCAGTAGCAAGAGCAGTCCTCAAAAGCAAGGATATTCTGCTCACAATCTGTTGGACAGTGAGAAAAAGGGAAGCAAAAGATAAATTCTCCATAAGTTTCGCAGCCAAGCACGGTTGTACGGCCTCCAAAATCCCAGGCCTAGCGGCACATACCAATTCAAAAACACACTAACTAACGTCGTGTGATATAGCACTCCATCAAGAGGACACAAGCACTTTGTGCAACATGGAGGGCTTTTTGCAATTGGAGTAAACCTTTTCAATTGCCTCAGAATCCGTCATGATGGGTGCACATGAGGAGAGGCAGTCATTAATTCTGGGCGTTGCTGGGGGGTGGGTGTTGTGGTGTGGCAGAGGAGCGGCGAGCGAGGAATGGTACACAGATGAATGGCTGATAATCCTCACTCAGTCCAGCAGCTGTCTGGCGTGAAAGTGCCCCCCTTTCCCATGTGTCACCATCACAAACATATGAATGAAAGAGCTGGGTCATCAGAAGTCTGGTTGCTCTCTGAGGGGATGTTCAATTGCTTCAGCCACATCAAATCACAGCAGCCTAACTGACCAATTTGGAACCAAAACTTGGCAGAATTCTTGGATATAAATTTGTCTCGCCTTGATACTTGGGGTGCTATTCCTCCAGTGGACTTGGCCATCTTTGACTTTTGATCGTTCTTATTTTTGCATCAAAAGACATGAAAGAGACAGAGTGAACGCGGTTCAGTGCGTGATTACCTCCTCGGCGTTTAACCTGTCTGCAGCGGCCGTGTCCTTTCAAGGAACATCTACTGTCAGTCGTTAACAATAAACGTTTCCGCAGCTGCGCTCTATGATGTTGCCTTTATTGGCGTAAAACATCTCTTATGCTGCTCAGTCGTTAAACCCGATCCTCATGATGAAATGGATTTTAAAGACGTCGTGGTAACATAAGAAGTCTCCAGTCAGGGGTATAGTACTGTAGTGCGCTACCATTCTTTCAGAACCTTGACGTGGGATGGTTACACAAATTCTCATACCACTAACTTTGACAAATTTTGCTATTCTTCAAGACATGCAGAATCATAGAAAATCAGAGCAAACAGATGTGAAATCATGGGGCCTCATTACAACCAAGAAAATAGACATCAATCAAAGAAAGCTTTTGTTCTCACCATAAGTAGGTAAAAAATATTTCGCATTAGATAGAAAACACACTTAGCTTTCTAATTAGCCTACTTGAAAAGGTTACAAATCTCATTGTGTGCTGCTTGTATTGTCCACATTGTGTGTGAAGATTCAATGACAGATAAAAAATTTACTAGAGATTGACTTCCCTTGAAAATTAATGGCTTTTAAACATTTCTGGAAGAATGGATTGTGCCAACTAGTACTCAGTTCTTTACATTTTACAATAGGAGATTGTATCCCCCACAAAGATACCAATACGACTTAAAGCATCTATCATAGGAGTGTGAAACATTTCTTGGCAGAAAACTACTAATAATTTCAACACATGTTTGCCCACCTTGTGGGTTCTAGGTAAACTATTATGGTTTCTATCAGGAGAACAATAATGGTAAATAAAGAAGCCAATGTTTGGTCTCACAGCCTCAGAGAGCCACCTGCTGGACTATCTGCTGGAACTCTTCAAAGTTACAGTGAGCACATCCTTCCTAACCACTTGAAATATACAGAATCTACCTACACATTTGAGGGCCCCGTTTACACAACACTGGACAGAGGAGAAGGTGAATTGTTGATTCAGAAAAACATATCATGCTGATTTACTGCGATAACTGGGCCCCATTCAAAACTCCTACTTTCAAACAAGTTAAGACAATTCATTGAATATGGGAATTTGTGTGTGATACAAATTAGGTCTTACTAAAATGTATGTATGGATTTCAAAAGGAGATAAAAAAGTAATTTCCACATGAAATGTACAATGTATGATGGCATGCTACAATGTATAATGAAATGCTGTCTACAATATGGCACACTATAAAAGATAAAACTAAATAAATGTGTATTATTGATGAAGCAGCAGAGAACTATTGATACTTATGTCTAAATCAGTCTGGTTTGAAAGTATGCTGTATGTTCTGTCTTTTTCAGTTTCTTTGTTTGAACTCTGAGTCCGGAATAAATGTCTTTCATTCATTCTAATGTAACAGAAAACGAATTTTGAGGAACTTGTAGAGTGCATTTCCCTCCAAGGCGAGAGTTGTACAACCCTCCCATGCTCAAGTGTGTTGGAGTTTGCTGCAAGTTATGATGACAAAGTCTACACAACCACAATTTCAGTTCAATCTGTCCAGTTAGTGTGTTTGTGAAATCCCTGCCTACAGACAAAACAGACGGAAAGAGACAATCGCAATAGGAAAATACAAACAGTTCTAGAAGTATGGTTCAATATTGTTATGTATGGATAACATAAGAAAACACCTTCTATGAACAACAAAAGTAAATCATACTGGATGCCGTGTGCGGTGTGCCATTGATTATCTACTTACGACATGTACTTGTTAAATTAGAAACCAAAAATTGGTAACAAAACATGACAACATTAATGTAAGACAAAGCAACACTATGACTGAGGTGTCAAGCGTCGACATATGAAGGGATGCATTCCTCCACGAAGCATGAGAGTTGTGAACAGCAGGGCAATACCCACAACGAGTTGTTATTACTAACAAACAAAGGAACAACTGCTTGTGTGTTTAGATAGACAACCGGCATCTTCCTACAGCGGGAGTTGCACACTCACAGGCGGCGTCATTTCATGTAAATTACGCCCAGTATGAACAGCAGTTGGACGGACAGCAGAATCAACAGAAACAGACAGAAACTCAGCAACTTCCAAATGAACAGCAGGTAGGAGAGGGAGGAAGAAATGAAGCTGGCATACATGTCACGGAATTCAGCAGCTCCTGTTGCCAGCGCCAGGACATGGACAGGAACAGGGCAGAAAAAAGAGAAGAAAAAAGACAGCTTGTTGAGAAGACAGAATGCAGAGACACAGGCCATATTCCTACGTTAAGAAAGAAATACCACGCAATAATGTGCACGTTCAAATTTCATTACGCGCCATATGCAATCTCTGAAGTAATTAAGACAAATACAAAAGACAGCATCAAGTGGTAATCTTCTTCACCATTTTTTTACTGCAGCAGGTGATACACAGGCCCAGCACATAATGAGGTACTTTTTCTCAATTTCACCTGAGTGCGATTTTATAACATATGAGGCACAGAGGACGGTTACATATACTGTGTGTGATGTGTGAGTGAGTGTGATGCTGGGGTAGCCGTGGTGTGTTGACTGGTGGTCGTGTAATGACTTGTCCACTGATGAGAATCCAGCCAGGCTATCCATTGCTGGTTGCAGCACTGCTGGAGACTCCAGCCCACGGGAGCGCACGTAGTCTCGGAGGGCAGCCGGGGGGGGTGGGGGGTGGGGGGGGGGGGGGGGAGGTTAACACCTCCCCCCGCCACACCCGCCCTTCTGGTGCTCGGGGGGGGGGGGGGGGGGGCGGGGGGGGGGGGGGGGGGGGGGGGGGGGGGGGGGGGGTTAAGAGACACCCATTCGGAAACAGGTGCCCACCCACGTACTGGCATCTCCTCACTCGGGGCATGGGGAGGATGGACCTGTTCCCAAGTACCACACAGCAAGCGCGATCTAGCGGCCTGTTACCCTCCAGGAGAGCTCCCATCTATTCATTGAGAGCTATTCATAATATACAACACGCACACGCTAGCGATAATCCAGCGCACATACATTTCCGACCTCACATTCAGACGCAGTTTTATTTTCTCACCAGCAGCCTTTTTTATTAATATAGACATTCAGACAGTCAGTTCGGGTTTCTATACCGACATCTTGTATCCTCAGAGCAATGAGGGGGTTCTATCTGCAGACTAGGAAAGTGACTGCAGGTGTCTGACTTGTCGTTACTGGCGTAAATAAGGGTGTCAGGGTATGGACACGTGGTCCTTGTCGTTACTCCTTTGTGCATTTTCAATGTATGTCAGCGATTCCCTCGGGACAAAAAGTTATAGGTGACAACCTCGTATCTGATAGCCAAACCCATTTTTAACTGGGTCCCGAGGCATGACTAACACAACTACCTTTATATGTTCTATAAAGTACAAGGTTAGAAGCTGTTAGGGATTTGATATACTATATATATAATATCATAGAATACATAAACAATTTTTGGAGGCTATTCTGTGAATACTCTGGAGCATGTGCAGTGGATACGACGGTAGCAACTGCAATGGGTAATTACATTTTTTTATAGGAAGACATATGTGTTGACCATTTGACCCATGTAGAGTTCTTATTTGTAATAGAATACACAGTTGTTAGGTTATATTTGAATAAAAATTTAACAGACGATGCGTCAAGAAACACTGACAAAACATTTAACAAAAATAATTGTGCCTAGGCGCATTAAAATATAGGCCATATAATATGCACAAAACACTCATGTGGGGATCCCATAATAGTGGATATCGAGCTTCGATCCACACGTACCACAGTCCTAGAAGCCCTGTTCGGACCGACCTGTAATGGAGCTGCTTGAGCTGCATTATAGTGCCAGGTTAATGTATGGCGTAGTAGCAACCATTATGTAAATAGATCATTATCATCTTGTATATGCACTATATCTGCCCCCATTTGATGTTACTTGTCAGGAAAAGCCCAGTGCAACCTAGAAAACATCTCCCTTGATACCCGGACGCAGAGGTGCTTAATCTTGTCAACGGAGACCTATCTAAACACCGCTGATACAGTGTAGTGACATCTTCCCTAACCCCTCGGTGTGATCTACTTCCTGCCGGTGGCCCCTGAACGAGCTATAAATAGTGGATGTCTGTGTGCGCCCCTACCTCCTCCTGTACCTGCAGCGCATTAGGCAGAAGTTATGAGGTGCCAGTGCGCCTGTGATTAGATGTCATGGCTGTCGCTCAGCTTAGACAGCGGTGATAGACAGATTTCTGGGAGAACCGCTTGTGATGGCATGTGTTTGTGAACGCAGCCTATGCACCAATCTGTCAATCACAAGGGCGTCCTCCTAACAACATATGTCCTTGTCTCTTCACCTCTTCTCCTTTTCATCCAAAACTCCATTCTTTTGACTTTGGCTAAAGAGCAAGGCAAAAAAATAATAAAAAAAAGTCAATCGTTTGGGTGGCTTGGGTCTACAATATTTCTAAATTTCCTGCTGGAGACACTCATTGTGAAGATATAATTTTTGGCAGCACATTTGTCAGGGATGTGACGACTCAGAGCCCGCTGGTTTTCAAGTATCTTTGTTCAACTCATCGTGTGCCACAATAGAAGCAGAATAATGTGCACTTTTTAGTCACAGAGGCAAACGGAAGATCTTGACTGGCACATTCTCTCTCTCACACCATTGCAGCTGCTGTAGAAAGCAGTGGGGTAACACTAATGAGGCAACATTCTTCCTGTACTAGCGTGATGCCTTTGAATTAATGCTCCTCTTTTCAGGTAAAACATTCCCCTGCTTATTTATGCCCATGATCTGTGGCGTGTTGCGTGTCAGCACACTTTGAGATAGCACTGCGCCAAAGGACATGGTGCAGGGGCTCGGTGTGTCTAGTCCCCCATGGAGATTCGCATCAGTCATACCTTTATATATGTATATGTGTGTGTGTGTTCTGTGTGGGTATGTTGTGTGTGTGTGTGTGTGTGTGTGTGTGTGTGTGCGCATGTTTTTTGTGTGTGTGTGTGGCTATGCTGGGCTGTCTGACTGTGTGGAGCTCACTGAGTTTTCATTTAATTAGATGGATCAGAGGTGGGCTTCAAACTTTTCCCTCTGAGGAAGTCGCATGGACAAATGAGCTCCTGCAGAGTGGACCCAATAAACATGGGCCACTTCTGAGGTTAGCTGCTGCTGCACAAAAAAAAATCACTATCAAAGACATGGTTAGAGAAAAACAGCACATAAACAACAATAAATTAGCTTTAAATATTAGGGACACGCTTCTTTAATGTATTTAAATGCTGTTATTTTCACAAGGTGCATATATTTTTATGTGTTGTGAACAAATCTAACCACAACAGAGATTTTTTTGAGAATTAGCTGCTTCTCTCCTTTTTCACTGAAAAACCTGATCTAAAGTTGCAACAGAGACCAAAAAGAAAATAAAATACACACAAAAACTATACAAACCATATAGATTTGCAAAGAACTAGTTACTTGGATTTTCATTATGTTTAACTTTCATTCTACAGAAAGGAAAGCTTACAATAAAACTGTGATTATAAATAGATTAATTTCAATCGATATGTTGCTTCAAATTCCACAGTATTGATATGAAAACATTTTAATGAAAGGATCAACCTTGAAACTGCCGACGCCTTCTGTAAACACGCATCACTCAATAAAAGCCACAAACAGCGTCCCCATACAGATCCACAGACCTACTTCAGGATCAAAGACATACTCTTAGATAAAGCTACCCTCCTTCTTTCATCATGTGTCAGCTCTGTCTTAATCCAGTGCCACCTGTCACTTACACAACTGGGAACTGTCTGATGGTTGTCCCCAGAAGGCTAGCTAACAAATTAATCCTAACGGGATACAATAGGACCATGCGCACTTGCTTTCTCCCTAGACTAAATATAGCCCTAGAATGCGGCTAATTACAAGCTATAAAAATAGTTACAATCGTTCTGGATCCCCACTGATCAAAGATGCATTTATTATAAGAGATGGTGACTCTTGGATTGTTATAACCTGCGATACAAGTCCCTTATTTTGCCTGCCGTTTTAAACTCTTAACACTATCAATACTATCGACTCTTTAAGTAATTTAGATGTAGAGTAAATTTGAGACCAATGCATTCAGATAACAGTCTGGCTGTTATCTGAATGCAATGATTATGACATAGCATAAGTCCATTGTGTCAAATTAACAAAATACAACAATGTTATCTTAAAATCCTTCTCATTGCGATGGATGCATTGGGTATTGAACTCTGAAGGGCATCATCTTTTACCTTAATCCACTTTGGTTGGCTGACAATAGCAGATGACAGAGAGTGGACTTAAGAGCCGAAAGAAGGACAGTGTGATGTATATTCAAAAAAAGGCAACACAACAGACACTTCATATCACACATCATGGCTCATTGTGTTGACTGTTCAGTTTTCCCGAAAGAACAAGAGACAGTCACAATAAAGTCTCATTTCTAGAACTTGTCTCCTGTCTGTCTCCGTTGTGGCTATGTTTAATTATATGCTTTAGAACATTCCAGAAGACAAGCATTTTTATCATTGTTTGATCACCAACATTCTCCCATATGGTATATCTTGGTCAGATAAAGTATTATTTAAAATATTACAATAATTGACCATATTGACTTTACGGTACAGGAGGGAAAAGGGAGAGGGATAATCTGATTCATGCTGCTGTCTTCTTTCTTATGTTCTTGTAAATATGTTTGAAAATTTTAATTGATACATTTTAAGTGGAAAAAGAGTGACCTCTTCAGTGTGTGGAGAAAGTGGTGAGGAAGCCCAGATCAAAATAGACATACAGGCAAAAAATAGGAAAAATACAAAACACTTAAATACTTTAAAAGCTTTTTGTTGAATGGACAAGGTGACAAGTGTCTCGTTTGATGTTATTCAGGGTCAAATGCAATTAACGGGATACAATAAGAGCATACTGTTGTATTTATAAATACGAGACATTCTAAAACCATGTGTTTTATGACCTAGCTAACCTCTAAGTGGGAGGCCAGTCCTTCTTATTTTATTTTAGGTGTCTTCTTGTGCCAGCAACTGGACAACAACAGATTCTGCTGTTTGGATTTCACCCCCCTAGTCTTGGCCTGCTGACTTCTGCACTTTTCAACCTCACTCCATCAGGAGTCTGGCAGACGGAGGAAAAGGCTGGACCCTAGACCGGAAGCTGGCTGATAGGACACTCCCCTCCTTCCTGTTCTTTATATATGCTCTGGCTTGGGAAGACACAGCAGGATCAGCCGAGGGCCAGAGAGGGACATATATAGTTTTAGGAGCACTTTTTGTTGAATATTCTGTATCTGATTGTAAAGATAATTAAATGCAGATGTTAAACTTGGAGAATCTTTTTGTCTGATTTCTGTATCAAATTGTGGACACGTCAGCCAAAAGGAAATATTGGCTTCATTTGGTGACCCGAGACGTGATTTGATACAGAAAGAAGACGCAAGATGAGCTCAGATATAGACTGGGTCCGTCGGCCGGGAGAATTCTCTCTTCTCTTCTCTCTTCTCTTCGAAAGAGGTAAGCGGATCGTTACTTTTGAAAATCTGCACATTGTTTTAAATGGAAGAGAGAGAGAATTCGGCTCGGCGGACTGCAGTGTGGCCAGACGACCGCCGTGACGGGCGATTCTATCGGACGCGATAGAACAATAGTCAGGTTTAGACGTTTTTGGCCTTGGGGGAAGCATGGGTCCCTCCAAAAAAAACAGAACATAGATGATGGATCAGAGCCACAGAGTTTATAAGTGCAGAAGAGGCACACCGTTTAGAGTGCAAAAGAGGCACAAGTGTTTAGAGAAATAGGATTAGAAAATAGGGACAGTTAGGGTCAGAAGTTATAGGATAATAAAAACTCCATATCCCCGGGGGGGGGGCGGGGAAAAAGGGTACATTTAAACAGAAGAAAAGCCAAGTATTTAAAATGTGGATTCTGATAATAATGATCTGATTAATGAGAAAAAAGAGAGCCTCTTGGCTGTAGTATACGAGTTTCATGTGAAGAAATGATCAGTTATGGAAGTTTTTCTCTTATTCTGATGTAATGTTTAATAGTTACAGAGAATCAAAAAAAAGAGATTCTGCTGGGACTATTAGTCATGTAAGCAAATAGTAATGTTTTCCATTACTGACGTATTTAAGGATAAAATGTAAAGTGTCGTTTGACGTGAGAAAAACTTTTACCACTGATTAAGACCTTGTCACGAGAAAAACGAGGAAAGTATTTCAGACATCCATGTTTCCTTTGTTCGAGAAGCCCCTCCCCTCCCTCTTTCTGTCCTCTCTCTCTCTCCCCTTCCTCTCTCTCTCTCTCTCTCTCTCTCTCTCTCGTGAAGACAGAACTATTACCAAAGACATTTTTTGTTTTGTAGAAAATTACATTTATACACACGATAATGTTACTGACATGGAGTCATAGGATCACAGAACTTTGAGTTAGATTATAAAGAGGCATTATTGTATTTTTTATTTTTTATCTCCAATTCCTCCTATTTTGGTGATATAAAAGTTAGAATGATCTTAGAGAGCATTATACTTTTGGAAAAATAGGGCTTAGGATAGCAGTTGAATGCAGATTTGGTTTTCAGAATTTAATGTTTAAAATGTTAATATTAATTATTTCATAGGTTTATTTTGATTTGTAATTAATCATTGGTTTTGTATGGTAATTAACACACTTGTTTGTGTTTCTTGTTTGTCTGTTTTTTTCCGAGAAAACTTCTGTCTGTTTCATTTGCCCAAAATCGTCTCGGCCACAAACCACCATCAAGCGCCATCAACACGGACCATCAGCGTCTCCCCCTCTCCCTGCGGGTCGCAGGGGGCAGCATCGGCTGCAGCAGCTAACAGGAACTCTCGAAGAAGACTCCTCCTGCCTGTGAGGAGGCAAAGAAAAGACCGCAGACTTGTTCACAAACTGAGTGTTGTCCCATCTGCGGAACAGAAGGTGGCGGTAATGCGGAAAAATAGGCCGCCAACCGCCGGAAAACCAAACAAGAAGAAGAACACATTTGGGTGCGTCAGATATGAAAGAAGAAGAAAGACATTATGAGGAAAAGTTATCGGAAGAAGAAAGAAAGTGATTGTTGAAAGAAGAAGAAAGACATTGTGAGAAAGAGTTATCGGAAGAAGAAAGAAAGTGATTGTTGAAAGAAGAAGAAAAAAGGCATTGAGGCAAAGACATTGGACACTTTGAGACAAAGACATTGGACACTTTGAGACAAAAGACACTGAAAGACGCCATAAGAAGAAGACGTGGCCGGGCTAAATGAGACAGACAGAAGGTAAATATATACGGACAAACAAGCGCACAGAGACATGTGGAATTTAAGTCATATTTACACATTTAGGTCCTTCGTTCATAACACTACATTTAGCTGCATGAAAAGAATACAGGACAATCGTTAAAATTAATTAGACTCTTGCTTTAGCATGAGACACAAGGAGATTAGAACAGCAGTATATTTAAAGTAGAGGAGCTCTATTATTGAAACTAGTAATATTATTTAAAGTTATAGACGCGGAGAAGTTTAGAATTATTGATTTTGACTGCATGATCTTGGTAATACGGATATTTAAAGCAGTGTTTTCAACCTCTGAACCGTGGCTTGTTAATCATTTAAAAACAATCACATGCACAGTTGATACTGGTGCTAGAAAGAGAACTGCAGCTTTTAATGGACGCTGCATTTAGTACAAAATGGTTTGTTCAGACAATTAAAGTTTGAAAAATGATTTAAAGCATTTCTAAATTTTGGCTAAAGGTGATATTGGATCATTTCTGATAACACATAGACGCAACACTGTTCATTGGTTGAAAACAAGGATGTAGAGACATTTTATGACATGTTTCTTTTCCAAATAGCTAAATTAGAAACAATTAGGACAATTATGTCTTTGATACAACTGTTGGCAGTTTATCTGAGACATGATTGGTACAAGTACACACACATAAAACAATGGTCTTTTCTCCACATGAACGTGAAACAAAGGTGAAGTATTAAAGTTTGAGACTAATTTACATTTTTAATGAATCCGACCTGGCTTTACTGAAAAAGAAAAAAAAAGGGAAAAACATTTATTGCACGTGCATGAGTTTTTTTTAAGTAACAAGAGCTCATTAAAAATA